GTTCAGTAGGCATATAGTGCACCTTGTTCAGTAGGCATATAGCTGCACCTTGTTCAGTAGGCATTAGTGACACCTTGGTCAGTTGGCATTAGTGGCACCTTGTTCAGTAGGCATATAGTGACACCTTGTTCAGTGGGCATATAGCGAGACCTTGGTCAGTGGGCATATAGCGAGACCTTGGTCAGTGGGCATATAGTGACACCTTGGTCAGTGGGCATATAGTGACACCTTGTTCAGTAGGCATTTGTGACACCTTGGTCAGTGGGCATATAGCGAGACCTTGGTCAGTGGGCATATAGCGAGACCTTGGTCAGTGGGCATATAGTGACACCTTGGTCAGTAGGCATATAGTGACACCTTGGTCAGTAGGCATTAGTGACACCTTGGTCAGTAGGCATATGGTGACACCTTGTCCAGTAGGCATATAGTGACACCTTGTCCAGTAGGCATATAGTGACACCACATACATGTACATTCTAAAATATCACAGACTTAATTTTTTCATCTTCAGTCTAATGGTCAATCAGCCAGAGCTAAAGATTCAAAGAAGAAAAGTAAACAATTACAGAAAACAGCTAAAGAATCAAAAGATAAAGTAGAAGGAGGTATGAAAAAACTCCACTTTATCCTACCTCATATACGTGTCACTCCAATCCACTCCTCTAAACCCCACACCATCCCTCCCAACACCACCCACTCCCAGACTCCACACCCCACTCCCACACTCCACACCCCACTCCCCACTGTATTCCCCACACTTTACTCCCCACACTTCACCGACATACTCCACCCACTCTCCACACCCCATTCCCCACACCCCACACTCCACACTAAACTCTCAAACTTCACTGACACACTCCACACTCTACTTCCCACACTCCACCAACACACTACACTCCACTCCCCACACTCCATTCCCCACACTCAACACTATTATCCATACTTCGCCGACACACTCCGTTCCCCAACACTCTATTCCCCACACTATACTCCCCACTCTCCACACTCCACTCCCCACACTCCATTCCCCACAATCTACTCCCCCACACTTCACTCCCCACACTCCACACTCTACTTCCCACACTCCACTTCCCATACATCACCGACACACTCCACTGTACCCTATACTATTCTATACTATCATTGATTTGCCATTGAACAGATTTACAAGAGAGATTGGATAATGCCAAGAAAGATGTAGAGGAAATTGATCAACTCAATACTGAAACTGAAGAAGAACTGAGAAAACTAAAACAAGAAATTGATGCAATACCATCAGGTAAGTGTTATAAGTTCATCCCATCAAAGTTCATAGGAAGAAAGTTTCAATATTTCTTACCATTTTGCTCAGTTCTGGACATTCTACAACATGTTGTTAAATCAGAAAGATGTATAATATCATATTATTAGTCCCTGTTTGAGCTTCTGTCTGTCTGGAGTCATATTTCAGAACCCTGTGAATCAAATCTGTTCATTCTTTGCATGTTCCTAGTACGTACTTTATCTGGGACATAGGCACAATGTGTTGTTTACTGATTCAATATAAGATAGTGAACTGGCAGCTACTTTGTTTTTTGAAAATATGCATGCTTTGTCAGTTTTTGTTCAAATTTGGTATATAAACTATACATGTTAGGGTACATGTCTAACAATTCGTTTTGCGATCAGGTCAAAGATGGCCAATGGCAGCCATCTTAATTGTTTTTTGGAAATGTTGTATCTTATGCATGCTTTGTCGGTTTTTGTTCAAATTTAGTACATACCTTATACATGTTGGAGTACATGTCTATGACAATTCGTTTTGCAATCGAATCAAAGACTAGCAGCCATTTTGTTTTTTGAAAACGTGGTACATGTATCTTATGCATGCTTTGTCAGTTTTTTGTTCAAATCTGGTACATATATTATACATTTCGTTGTGCGATTGGATCAAAGATGGCAAACTGGCAGCCCTCTTGTTTTTTGGAAATATTGTATCATGGACATGGTTTGTCATTTTCAAATGGACCAAAGATGGCTGACTGACGGCCATCTTGCATTTTTTACAATACTACTATTAATAATATCTTCAAGGCTTAGAGACCATTTTCATTCATATTTGGCACATGTATCATACATATAGGAATACATGTCAATGTCAGTTTGCTACATAATCAGATCAAAGGTGACAGGCTGGCATCCATCTTGTTTTTTGGAAGATGTGGTGTCTTGGACCGGATTTGTTCATTTTCATTCAAATTTGATACAAACATAATATTTGTTGAGATACATGTCCATGATGATTCATTTTAAATACAAAAAATGTGTGAGTAGCTTGCATATTCTGTTTAATTTTGTACCATATATATTGATTTTGAAAAAGTCATTTATAACAATGTAATTTCTGTTGATACTAGACCAGCCAATTATTCACTCTCAATTATCTATGCTTTTGGTTCATATTACTTAATTTTTGGCATGAATAACACTTCCCCTAATTCCAATAGGGACATTAACAATGACTTGTACAAATTGTTTTCTCAGATGATCTTAGCGCGAGAGCTGAAGATGCAATGGACACTGCTGACAGTGCCCAAAACAAAGCCCAGGAAGCACTAGACTCAATCTATTCCATTGGTCAAACTTTGCCTGATAAGAAATTATTAGTTGCTGAGATTCCACAGAAAATTGATGATATTAATCGTGCTATGGACAGAGCTGCATCTAGACGTAAGTTTAAAATATAATATAATTTTCTTAGAGTGTGTATACATAAAAACGTTAAATTGATAGTTTGGGTGAAGTTATTTATGTGATATGATGCTTTGATTTTAGGAAACAAATTTATCAGCAACATAACTTGGGTTATATTGGTTGGTTTGCATATTCGCCTTGTATTAGAAAGGTTCCAGGATTGATTTCCACAGCCAACTGCCCTGTCCTGCCTTCCAAATGTGCGGTATTAGGTTTGGAACACTGGTTTGTACTCATCCAATTAGCGCCAAATACAAAAAACGCAGGAGATACAGCAGTGACTTCAATGTTCGGAAATGTCATCTGGCACAACAATAATAAAAAAAAAAAATTGACCAGTAAAATTTATTGAGTAATTTTTTTCCAACTGGCACTGGCACAATTTTCTACCAGGAAATAAGCAATGGATTACTGACCAGTGTTGTTGTATTGTTTCAGTGAGAAAACTTAACGAAATGGTTCCACAAGCCCAGGACTTGCTGAATGACATGAGTGCTCAGAAAGATAAGATGAAAGACTTAGGAATGAAAGCGTTATCAAATCTCACAGAATTACAAGATAAAATAGAAAGGGCACAGGATCAGGCAAATAGGGTATGTATAATGGACCATTTCCCATTCACTGCGAGATCCCATTCACTGCGAGATCCTGCATTATGCGTGAAATCGAACGTAAAAACAGGACAAACAAAGGTCATAGCGTCGTAGTGGCGACAAACATCGCGAAAGTATTTTTAGGGGATATTTGCATGCTTAATAATGTGCTGTACACATTTGATGATGATCAATTTTGATGAAGTTAGGGTATTCAAATGCAGTATTCCCCAGTCAAAGATCGGTCTTTTGATGTGAGATACAAAATAAAGAAATTCAAGTTCAAAATCGAATCATTCTATTTTTGTGGCAGACGTTCGGCATGCATCTTTCACGCAACTCGCTGGATCTCGCAGTTGAATGGAAACTCGCTTTTATATTATACTGCTTTCAAATTGCCACAATTTATTGTCTTGTGTTCAAAACAACTACTTGCAATCTCAGTATACAACAGTGCTTGTGTTATGTTCACTTGATCATAAATTTTGTGTTAAATAAAATTATGTTTAAAATAATATCTGATTCATAATTTTTGTTTTCTTCTTAGATTGAGGTTGCCATGGGTTTCCGTAAAACAACTACAGTTAGATTACGATCTGTTCCTAATAATGAAGATGCTTCAGCTTCTTCCTCTATCTCGCTGTTTTTCAAGACAAAAGAGAACAATGGATTCTTGGCATTCCTCGGTGGACAAGGTGGTGGGGTAAGTAAATTAGTGGCAAGGCCTCTACATTTTAACTATGTTTTCAACAATTTGCTAAAATTTGAATTGTGTAATGAAGATGTTCATCCAAGCAAAATGCATTGCATTATGCGAAGCTATGTTTATGCAAATTATGTTAATCATTACACTTGATGAGAAGTTGCACTGCATTGTGGGAGATTTTGCTAAAAATAACCTTGTTGTTACTGCCATGTAAGCAGTTACATCAAACTATGGGCAGATTTTTTTCAGACTGTGTCCCAGTTGTATGCATCCCAAAACAGCAACTGATATTATAGGGTACATGTATGTGTGTCTGTTTGAAGTAATTTCTCAGACATGCTGCAACTAACTTCTGTAAACTTGGTGCAATGACAAAGCAGGATGTATCAATCACTCAATAATCTAATGAAATTTGGCTGTACTGGTGGCCATCTTGGATTTTTTTTCTCCATGAGCTTATCGGTTTCTCTGGTATCCATTGCCATCTATTAAACAACGATTTTGTACAAAACCTGTGCATTATAAGATTAATGTACCTTATGTTTGAGATATGATTTCATCAACTGGTGGCCATTTAGGTCCTAAAATTCCAATACTTGAACATCCATACAAGTGCAACTTTTACAGGTGCACATGATTGTTTTATTCATTGATCTAATCCAAAATGGCCGACTGGTGGCAATTTTTTTTTTTTTTGTATCTGTGTTTCTCTTCGTAAACTTGAACGGGCCACACCAAAATAACCATTTAAAACAATTTCTTCAAACTTCCTCTTGGCAAAGACAATAAACCTTTAAGTTATTTTCATTTATGTTTTTCAGGATGACTACATGGCTTTGGAAATTGTTGATGGCAATGTTGTATTCTATTATGATTTAGGATCAGGGTTTGCTGAAATTAAAAGTAATAAGAAAGTAGCAGATGATGTCTGGCATCAAGCAGTAGGCGAAAGGTATTTCAATTGTACACCATGTTCTTGCATTCATATTAAAGCAAATAAGACAATTTTTGATTATTTATTTATTCATTTATTCATTCATTCATTCATTTATTCATTTGTTCGTTTGTTTGATCATTTGTTTATTTATTTATTTATTTATTTATTTATTTATTTATTTATTTATTTATTTATTTATTTATTTATGTGTTTATTTATGTGTTTATTTATGTGTTTATTCATTCATTTATTTATTTATTTATTTATTCGTTTATTTGTTTATTCATTCATTCATTCATTTGTGTAGTGATGATGTTATGTTCAACTTTTTTTTTTGTGGCAATAAGTAATGCCCATTTTGTATATTCAATGTAAATAACTAGTGTCACATAAAATATCTGTCTATCTTTCTATTCAAATCAGGGTTGGAATGTCTGGTACACTGACTATAAAGACAGACAAAGAAAATGATGATGAAACCACAGGTCGATCTCCACCTTCGTTCTCAGTTTTCGATCTAACAGCATCTGCACAATTCTTTGTTGGAGGTGTGCCACAGGAATTTGGGGTAAGATTTATAATCCGTTAGTGGATGTAACAGATATATCACTACAGTACAAGGAAACCCCAGCTTAGTATCCAGATAATTAATCCTTGTTTACCACAAGGTACACTTTGGGTAAATGTCTGAATTGTTATTTTTGATGTATTCAAGACTCTTATGTGACATAATTAGTGGTATGAATGTGTGCATAATACTGGAAATATTTCAATGACTCAAATAACATCAAATAATGTTCTGAAAATTAAATGGTTAACTGTAACATTACTACATATGCTGAAAATTAAATTTTTCACTTTCCAATTCAAAATGGCCAACTGGTGTCAAATGATTCATCAAAATCAAGCATTTTTGCCATTCTTAAACCAAATCTTAGCCTAAAATATCTAAATTTCATTCAAACTTGAGACATACATTAAACTTAACGGTACTGTTTTTTTTGATTGAATTCAAAATGGCCAACCATTCGCCATTATGTTTAAACGTATGCTGTTTCAAAATCCACTATCTGACATTCCTTGTTTTTGCATGTGCACAAGCACTTCTATATTTGAACCTGCATAGAAAACGAATGAGAACTGTGTCTTGATTTCTAATAATTTAATTTTTTTTTTAAATCCCCACAAACTAAATACAAAGTCTACATGTATGTTATGGTATACTTTTAGTTTTTTTTCAATAGTATTTTTTTTTAATAGTTTTTTTTTAAAATAATTTATATTATGTGTATAAATTATATATTCTTTTTGTATCATTGAACTTTGTGACCTAATAATCAAAACAACAAATCTTAACTGGAATGTGTATTCTGTATTTTCAGCTTCCAGCGAATATTAAAATTAGCAGATTTATTGGGTGTATAGATGATTTGAAGTTTATGGGCTTGGCGATTGGTTTGTGGAACTTTGCTGAAGCTGTCAATGCTGATAGGGGATGCAAAGAAAGGTGAGGATTATACATATCTCTATGGAAACTCATTTCAATTTTTTCACCACCAGACTTTCTCGCTTTTCACCCATATTTTTCTGCACTTTTTTTTTTTATATATTCTTCAATATTTCTGGAAATGAACCCTAATTTTGGAGTCAACAGACAATTTTCAGTTTTTACTCAAAAATTTGGCTATTTTTGTCCCAGTCTTCTGAAAGAAAGTGCAGACTATAAATTAAACAGGACTACCAGTATTTTGTGAATTTGTGATGAAATGAGGGAACTTGAAAGGTTAATATCAAATAGGGATTATGAGGTGTATTCTCATATGCAACTCCCTCGATACATAAGTTTCTTTCCTTTTTTTTGTCATTTTTCCTTATAACCATTTTTTTACCTCTTTGAATGTCGATCAACTAAAATAAATATGCGTGGCAATCTCTTTATTTTTGTATATTTTTCAAAATTTTTTAGTAGGATTTGTTGTTTGTGCAAAATTTTGTCTATTCGCACTAAAACTGTGCAAATACACGTAATAAAGTGCCACAAATGTTTCCTGTTTCAGATGTTTTGTTGATCCAAATCAACCTTTATTGTATATACTCAAATGCACTATTTAATAAATGTAGAACGGTGAATGTATATCTTGTTATGTGATGTATGCACTTGGTATTCTCGGGGCAGTCATCTGGGCATTTTCACCGCCTGGCAACCATCACGGTGAAAACAAAGTCTGAAAACTCTCAAAAAACTGTACTTTGGGATGGTTGTTGAGACTCCCCTGAACAGTGTAACAAGATAACCCCTGTGTGTGTAACATATATAAATTTGGTTGTCCAGAATTACTTAAAATTTGACTTTGTGTTGTTTTCTTGAATTTAGCTATTTTCACCGACTCTTCGACCGGCGTTCCAAAGCAGCTTGTGCAGAGCTCATAGGATTACATGGTATAGTGGTGCACATCTTAGAAACGTGGAACTTCTTGTGACGTAGCCCTGCGACTGAGGATACATAAAATGATGTCAAGTGTTTCAAAAATTACATTTGAATTGTATTCTTGTTTTTTCAGATCTGTACTTCAAGCTCCACCAGAGAATATTTTCACATTGAATGGTGGTGACAGTTATGTTATATTACCAAAAGGTAATATCAATATCTATCAGCGCACAGAAATCTCTTTTCAAATGAAGACATTTGCAGACACTGGATTATTATTCTTTGCTGGCAAAGGGGTAAGTATTCCCAATGTTATTTTTCAACTCGTTAAAAATCGATGGCTCTCAAGCCATGAATGTGTTAGATATATGGGTCCATTAGCCTTTTCACCACTACTCAACTCTTTTCATCACAAAACAGATTATAGTCTGCACTTTCCTTCAGAAGATTCGGACAAAAATAGCCAAATTTTCTGAGTAAAAACTGAAAATTTTCTCAAATTTTGTCTGGTTGCTCCAAAATAAGCATTCATTTTCAGAAAAAAATTGAAGAATATAAGAACAAAGTGCAGAAAAATTTGGGCAACAAGTCTGGTGGGGAAAAATGTTAAGAGTTTTTACATAGAAAATAACATGTACAGTTGTATGTCTTTATATTCAATAAAGTCTTTGATGTATCAGCATTTTGTTTTTTATTAAATTTTTTTCCTGACAGACTGACTTTATATCTGTGGAGCTGCGAAATGGCCACGTTTTATTCCAGTATGATTTTGGAAGTGGGGTTGCTGAGATTATGTCAGCTGAGAAATGCAATAGTGGTAACTGGACCAGAGTTACTGCACAGAGAAACAAACAGGCAGGCTCCCTTACTATAAACAAGTAAGTTAAGTAGAAGTATAATACTGTAAAATACTTTATTTTAGCTGGAATAAATTTTCGATAGAAAGGCTTTTTGGGTATTTTGTATGGAAATTATTTTTACTGATTTTTAATAAGTTGAATGTAAAAAATAGGACAAATGGATATTCCCTGGATTAAATTTTCACTGAATCATCCAAAATAGCGTAAATTAATTCCAAGTGAAAATAAAGTATTTTACAGTAGGTCTGTCAAAATTTAAAAAAATAAGTAATTAACTCATTTAACTCAGATTGGCATGACATTTTGCTTTGGGTTGTTTGTTAAAAAAAATGAAAATATTCAAATTGGGCATATACTTTGCCCACTACCGTACCCCGGTAAATAGAATTAACGAAAGTATAACTTAAAATCAGTTACTATTAATTTTTCTGAAATGTATTGTGTATTATCTATGTCACATGTACATGTACTTTCTATCCACAAAAGCTTATGACAGTTGGGTTGGTTGCAGCCTTACTTTAAAGTAACACTGAAAATTTCATACAGGGAGTAGGGATGGGTTGCTCGATTACACAATTGTTTTAGCCAAACTTGTCATGAAGTTACTATTTTGTCATAAAATACAGTAATTGAGACCAAATTAATTTTGCTATAGCTACATGTATGTCAATAATTCTATTTTCAACTTCTTCTTGAAAACTACCAACTGTAGATACCTTGGGCGGACCTCTGTCAGATTTGTCCATTTTGTGACAATATCATTATCATTTCTGTAATTTTTTGTAAAAAAATTTTTTGTTTTATTTTTTTGGGAGTGGGTCTCTGTCAGATTTTTTTTTTTAGCAAATATTGTTGTCTTAAATTGCTTTGATACTTATTATACACATGTACATGTAGCTATTACATGGACCTCTATAACATTATTTTCTTCTGTGATATTATGGAAACACCCAAGACTGCTGAAACAGTGGGCGTATTGTGAATGTCAGGTGGCTTGTTTACCAGTTATATTTTAATCCCCCTCAGTATTTCTGTTTCATTCAAGTCCTCCTCTAAGATACATCTTTGTCTATGTAGTAAGTAAATTAGTGTATGATTCACTTGCATAATAAATGCAGACACACATTCATTCAGATGCAATTTTTGTTTTCAGAAATGATGCTGTTCGTGGGACATCACCTGGTAATCATCATGGTTTAGAAACCAGTGATGTGTTATATTTAGGTGGAGTTAAAGGGATTAAGGTCCCTAGGTAAGTATAAATTGTCATATACATGTATCTACAATAATTTATTTTTGCCAATCACTATTAATCTGTGTATAAATACTTGCATTTGGAAATCAGACTAGACTAACTCTAAGCTATTTCTCTTTTCAACCAAACCAACATAATTCTTAATTTTTATTTACCATCATTAATGTTATTAGTTTTGTTCATTATTATATTATTCTTGTAATGTCATTGTTACCATGCAATTATTTGGTGAATAAATATTTATTTATTTATAATTTTATTTATTTATTTATTTATTTATTTATTTATTTATTTATTTATTTATTTATTTATTTATTTATTTATTTATTTATTTATTTATTTATTTATTTATTTATTTATTTATTTATTTATTTATTTATTTATTTATTTATTTATATTAATATTTATTTATTTATATTAATATTCATTTATTTATTTAAATTTATATAAATGTGCCATTTCCATATAGTTTTGTGTTATTTTTTGTTATAGTGCAGTGACATCTGTGTCATATATGGGTTGCTTGAAGGATGTACTTGTGCAACGAAAGGCTTGGGATGATTTATACGTCAACGAAGGATCCAAAGGACTCTACTCTGGATGCCAAGATAGGGTAAGATATGATGACATCACCAAATGAACTGAAATGCTTCCAGTTTTAATTCTTTCAACCATAGACCCCCCAGTAGAAAGCAATCATTATGGTACTTTTTGTATTTACTTGAAGACGCTCATAGTTACTGATGTATCAGATGAATACAATAGCTGATTCAGAAATGATATGAACATTGTCTCATCTTGCTTTCTAACCATTCAAAAAAAAATATGCTTTAATAGTTATGAACTTGTACTTTGAATATTGCTTGACGGTGTTACATTTTCACCACCAGTTCCCCCTTTTCATCACAAATTCACAAAACAGTCCCATTTATAGTCTGCATTTCTCTTCAGAAGATTGGGACAAAAAACTGAAAATTGACTCAAATTTTGTCTGTTGACTTAAATTCAAAATTAGTGTTCATTTTCAGAAATATTGAAGAATAAAAGAAAAAAAGTTGACAAGGAAGTCTGGTGGTAAAAAGGTTAAAAAAACGGAAAAATAAATGTTCAGTCCTTTTGCCAACTCATATGTCATTGTAAAAACGTTTGTTCTCTCTTTATTTCATAAATATATCAAGATCACAATGAAAAGATGATTCAATAAATATTGTTATTATTGTAATAATGATTTAGACATTGGATATTTTGGTGTCATTTGTACAGGTTTGTTTTCAAAATCTCGAAAATTATATAATGTAATATTTCTATTTTCAAGGCTGCAAGAACTGCTGCATTTACTCGTACTGATAGCTACATTGCTATGCCAGGAGTTAACATCAATCGAAATTCTGATATCTCCCTTCGATTCAAAACTCAACAACCGAGTGGATTAATGGTCTTTGCTACTAATGATGATCAGGTATGGTTAATTCACAGGAACATAAGCAGTCATTCTGTACCACCTATCCTAATGTATATCAACTTGAGGTGAATGAAATGTCATAAATGTAAAAATATATAATAGGACATGATTTTTTAATTTTGGATAGCGTTCAACCTTAAGCTCAAAGACCATAACTTGCAGGTCAAGTTCCCAGAGAGCTCATTAAATCTGGACTATTTAGTCTCTGTTTTGGGTAATGCTATTTCATTCAAACTTTGTACCATGATTGAGTTACAGTTGCAGGTTATATTTTTTTCAAGATTCAAACAAATATGGCTGACTGGCGGCCATTCTGTATTTTGTTCATTTTGATTCCTCACAAATTTTGTGTGACTAGAAATTGATAGTCATTTTGTCTAAAATATTAAAATCACAGTCTTTAAATGTATCCGGATTCACTTATCAGGATCATACATATGAGGTACAGGTGTACATGATTTTAACAACTGTTTCTCTGAGATGGCTTGCATGATTTTGTTCAAACTCAGTACAATGTTTCAACTGATTCATTCCCAATGCTTGTTAAATTAAAATTTTAAGAAAAATATACTTCCTATTTTATAACAGTATACACATATTGCAGAGATTTTGAGAATGGCAGAAAAAAAAATCTTTTATAAGCTAATTACCTAGAGAAAATCTTCTGAAGTCTTCACAAACTTTATAGAAAACTGTTTACACAAAAGTCTACACAGCTTTTATCACTCTACAGAATGTCTATAGGGATTATATAAAAGTCCATATTGTCTACACAAATCTTATATGAGAATTTTCGTGAGGGATATAATAAATAAATAAGGTATCAGAAAGCTTGCCAGTATTCCGCTTGTGCAGTTGATTCTGAATTTTTTTCCAATGCAACATAGTGTAGCATACTTAAATATACCTTGAGGCTAGTTGTTTAGTTTCTATGCACATTTACACATACTGTAAATACTTTATTTGCACTGGAATTAATTTTCGCTGATATAACTTTTTATGTGTGTTATATGGAATTTATTTTCACTGATTTTTGGCGAGTTGAATGTAAAAGAAAGGAAAAAGGTATATTCGCTGGATTTTATTGTCACTGAATCATTCCTTCAGCGAAAATAGCGAAAATTAATTCCAAGCAAAAATAAAGTATTCCACAGTAGTATTAATTTTTTATGTGAGTGTGTATTTGAAAAAATATTCAAGGAAATAAACGAATTGTCATTGTCATTAATCTTTTAAATTTTACTAGAATCTGAAGTGAAAATTCCTTGACTTGAGAAATTACTCTTACAGTAACAGTAGTTTATGTTCATTATGATACATTGGGTTCTTTGACAGGAAGTGACACGACTTTTTTCAATTTTTGTCTTCACAAATGCCATCAAATCGCAAAAAAATTCTAGCAGTGAAAATTAAGCCATTTACAATAGTTGAGGACTCATTTATTCATGCTTGGCATCCATGACTTGTTAGAAATGAATTATTCAATCACTTGCTCTTTCAGAGTAATTCATTCTCTATCGCAATGGTTGATGGGGGTGTTGTTGTCCAGACTGATGTTAGTAATGACATATCTACAGTAGAGAGTAATAAGAAACGCTACGATGATGGAGAGTGGCATTTTGTAAACTTTGAGAAAAAAGGAACTGGGTAAGTAAAGTCAATCTTTCAGCGTTTTGATCAGAATTTAATATCCTGAATTCAAAATATACCACCGAAATGGACCAAGCGCCCATGCTAAATCCTGCAAAAACACATCATGGCAAAATTGTTCTGCATAGAGAGTTGGCGCACATTCAAAGACATTCAACAGTGATAATGATGATAATTTCAAATAATGGCTATTTTACATCACAAACCCCATTACATAGGAAATTGCTATTACCGTTATAATATGAAGTTATTACGAGGATATCTCAAAGTATGCACAAAGACAGTACAGGGGAAGTTTTAAATGACGTGCAGTGAAGGTTGATGCAACAGCATACTGTCTGAGTGCATACTTTGAGGTATCCTTGTAATAACCTTATTATTATACATCTTTTCCTTCCCAAAGGATTCATCATGGGAATGCTGAAATCCAAAAAGTTTAGAACAGATTTAGTGAACTTCTTTGTGTGGAGTCCGGAGAAACCTTGGTGGCAGCCATGTTTGTTTTTATTATTAGAGGGCGCTTACACGACTAATCATTCCATATTTGAAATTCGCATTTCCTTATATAGTAGGATAAAAATACCCTGTAAAATTTCGCAAAATTACGACACACTGTAACTTGTGTCGTTACGATGACAGATGTATAATAATGTGCGTTATGCAGATTCAGAGCTGTTGAGACAAAGTAATGTATTAAACTCAAGATCACACTAATGACATATCGCAATGGTCAAATAGGGACAATGTTATAAAAAAGTAATAATGTAATAATGTTTCTATATTACTAGCCTTTCACTAGTTATTGATGACACTGATACTAAAGAAGTTGATGGAACGGGGAAGAAAAAAACCACAACCAGCAGTCCAATATATTTTGGTGGAACACCATCTGGTTACGATATTACAAGTCAAGTTCCAACGAGAGATGAATTCATCGGATGTATTTCTGATGTCAGTATCAATTCAAGGTAATTATATATTTATTGAATAACTCATCTCTCCACAAGCACACATTTTTCATTGCCATTGCTATCTAGTCTGACAGTGTGCACCCATCTACAGACTTTTCCATGTTTGAAATATGTTTTTGACCAGATTCTTGATTTGCCAAATAAAAGATGACAATTTTAATTTTAATTTAATAATAATAATGATATTACCTTGATTGCATCCTTGGGAATAGAATTTTCTATCAGTTAATGGCAATATGTTTAATAAAATGTATTATCAGTATTATAAATCAAGAGAATGCTCGTTTCTTAAAATGAAAGAATTTTTAACAATAACGGTAGGGGGAGTCATCATCTGCGCATGTGGTAGACTGCCATAGAGTGATATTGTTCACAAACAAGCATCTACCCATTAGCGTGCATTGTTATCGTCGTTTGGGACTCAATTCTCGTGCGTGACCAGGTTACAACCCCTCTGCTTTAATTGTATATTTATCACTACTTTTCATTAAATAAAAATTAAGTTTCTGTAGTTAGTGATGTTTATTAATTCAATTTTGTATATTTTACAAAGGGGACACATACTACAGTATTAGACGTATTAGTGGCCAGCAACATCAAAATTGTCAATATTGAGACCACTTATCTTTAATTTCAAGCCCTGAGAAATGTTTGAAAGGCAGGCATGAAGTTATGTAAAATGGGAATTATAAACATTTTTTAATTTAATGTCAATTTTGATTTATTCATCAGACCAGGTACCATTTTTGCTCTACTAGAAGTGTATTAAACTGTTTTTTGGACAGTCTTAGACATCTCTCTTACATAAACACTGTGTTATTAATAAAAAGCAAAAGCAGTATGTATTCTATGCAAAATAAATTTTTTTAGTAGTTCACAAATAGCCGAAAGTTAGTGCAGAATGATCATGGATTTACCTGTAAATATGACATGTTTTTTTGTCCGTGCTGCAAAGTTGCTAATAATTCATGGATATATGAATAAATGCAATGACAGAATCCAACTACTACTGTGACAATTTAATATCCTTGCGTCAACCAGGCCAGGTCAAACACAAGCACCTGTGAACCTCAACCAAGGTTCCTCCAAAGTCGCATTTGTTAGTGAATGAATCTCGGTCATAGAAATTAGCCTTGCTATTGAGTCTGTGGCACACTCGTCCTGGGTAGGGGTCAGCTTTTTTCGGTGTTCATTCTAAGGCAAGATTTTAACTTAAATATGAGTCTGTGGCAACAACAACTATGCTACCAGTGTCCAATTGTTGTGAATAAAAAAAAAATGTAATTATCATTCTTCACTTCAGACTTCAAGATTTTGCTCAAAGCGAAAGTGCTGAAGATGTTTCACTTGCTGGATGTCCGCTTGGAGCTGATGAAGATACATTTGCTGCTATCGTAGCAAGTCCAGTGACTGCCAGTCCAATTCAGAATGAAAAAATCACCACAACACAATCAACAGTTGATAAAGTAGCTGGATGTGCTTTACCACTAAGACCATCTGTCAATGAAGCTGATTCAGAAGATGGCATCAAATTTGGTGATGTAGTAGAAAGTAGATTTGAATATGATGCATTGGCTGATAAACTTGATAATAAAAGGTATGGTTTGGTATTACAGTAACCAATGTATGTTACTTATTTGTTATGTAACTTAAGTGAGATATTTTTTTATTTGTATATAACTCAAGTGGGATATTGATGTACAACTCAAGTGAGATATTGATGTACAACTCAAGTGAGATATTGATGTACAACTCAAGTGAGATATTGATGTACAACTCAAGTGAGATATTGATATATAACTCAAGTGAGATATTGATATATAACTCAAGTGAGATATTGATATATAACTCAAGTGAGATATTGATGTATAACTAAAGTGAGATATTGATGTATAACTAAAGTGAGATATTGATATATAACTCAAGTGAGATATTGATGTATAACTAAAGTGAGGTAATGATGTATAACTCAAGTGAGATATTGCTATATAACTCAAGTGAGATATTGCTATATAACTCAAGTGAGATATTGCTATATACTGTAAAGGGGGTAATTATTCACTGGGTTTTAATTTAGCTTATTTCGCTGAATGGAAAAATGCGCTAAATTAAAACCCAGTGAATATGTAAAATTTAGCATAAAACACATTATCTAAATAACAAAACGGTGAATTTAAAACCCACTGAATATGCCTGAAATGGTAAATCAGTGAAATTTAAACCCAGTGAAAATTAGTGCTTTTACAGTAACCCTAGTAAGATACTTTTGTGTAACTCAACTGAAATACGCAACTCAAGCGTGCAAATACAACTTTAAGAGTGCAAATGTGTGAAATTTAACTTTTAAATTACTAAATTAAAATGAATATTCTCCTACTCTATTTCAGATCTGTGTTTTATATATCCTTCAAAACCTCTGCCAGCCATGGATTGATATTCTATGCTGCTGATGACAGACAAATTGATTTCATTTCCCTTTACATGTTTGACGGGGGTGTTGTTTATTCATTCAACTGTGGCACAGGGACATTGATTCTGCAAAGTCCATTGAAATACAACGATGGTAATTGGCATACTGTGAGTATAATTTGAATTAAAAATAAATCCTAAATTCTGGGTATTTTCACCGCATGGCAACCATCACGGTGAAAACAAAGGCCGAAAACTCTCAGAAAACTGTACTTTGGGTTGGTTGAGATTCCCCTGAACAGTGTAACAAGATTACTCCTGTGTGTTACTTCAAAATTGAGTTTCTGTTATTTTCTCGAATTTTCACCTGCTCTTCGCTCGACGTTTCACGTTCCTCAGCAGCGTGCACAGAGCCCATAGAAATACGTGGTACAGTGGTGCGGGTCTTAGCAACGTGGAACGTCCGTGACGTAGCTCTGCCCCCGAAAATACACAGCATTGGTATTTATGGTGTATGTGTAGTCAATTGCATTGCTCAGGAATTCTATGTAATTTGTTATCAATTAAGTATGCAGGAGGGTGTATTTTTCTCAACTGTTTGTCGTCATCAACATTACTTTTTTCTCAATCTATATCTTCTATAATTGTAGTTAATATTTTTGTCATTTTTTTGGTTGTGTGCTGTAAACAATTCACCACACTATTTTTTTAGCTCCGCTGTCGACTTTGTTGAGCGGAGCTTATCATATGAGTGATTGTCCGTCATCGTCGTCCGTCGTCGTCCGTGTCAATGTTTTACTTTTTCGACTTCTTCTTGAAAACTACAAGCCTGAATGCTTTGATACTTGGTGTATATGTACCTTGGGTAGACCTCTCTTAGGTTTATTCATTTCATGTTGATATCTTCAATTCTCTAATTTTGGTGAATATTTTTGTCATTTTTGGTAAAAAGTGATATTTTCGACTTCTTGTTAAAAACCGCAAGTGCAATTGCTTTGATATTACATATATAGGTACTACATGTGGACCTCTCTCAGATTTGTTCATTTTGTAATGATATCTTTAATTCTCTAATTTTGGTGAATATTTTTATCATTTTTGGTAAAAAGTGATATTTTCGACTTCTTGTTAAAAACCACAAGTGCGATTGCTTTGATATTACATATATAGGTACTACATGTGGACCTCTCTCAGATTTGTTCATTTTGTGATGATGTCTTCAATTCTCTAATTTTAGTGAATATTTTTGTAATTTTTGGTAAAAAGTGATATTTTCGACTTCTTGTTAAAAACCAATAGTTCAATTGCTTTGATATTACATATTTAGATACTACATGTAGACTTTTCTCAGATTTGTTCATTTCGTGATGATATCTTCAATTCTCTAATTTTGGTGAATATTTTTGTAATTTTTGGTAAAAAGTGATATTTTCGACTTCTTGTTAAAAACCAAAAGTTCAATTGCTTTGATATTACATATATAGATACTACATGTAGACCTTTCTTAGATTTGTTCATTTCGTGATGATATCTTCAATTCTCTAATTTTGGTGAATATTTTGGTCATTTTTGGTAGAAAGTGATATTTTCGACTTCTTGTTAAAAACTGTAAGTCCGATTGCTTTGATACTATACATATTGTTCATTTTCTAATGATGTCTTCAGTTCTTTAATTGAAATGTGCATTGCTAACAGCGGAGCTATCTCAGCCGATAGGCTGCTTGTTAAAGTTTGACAAGAAAGGCATAACTGTGAAACCAATTGAATATTGTGTTCCTCAAAATTACAGGCTGTTAACTAGTGTGATAAGAAAGTGAATTTTGAAACCTGACTTTATGTTGGGAGATTTGATTAAAGGGTGACAGTGGTTGTCGCACCACGTCCTGATTGTTATTGGGCTCTTAAATACATTTATTTGTTTACATGAAATTAAATCACGACCACTGCTTGGGGTCAAATACCCCAGATCTTTCCATTGTAGTTACCAAGCTAATCAATTAATTATTGGGGTAAAATTCCAAAATTGATTGTCCAAGTTTATCTCAATGGTAAAATATAACTCCATTGTGAGGTTTTACACAAGCAATTTCAACTCAACTGTGTGAAATATAACTCAATTTAAACTTGATTGTCTTATGTATGTGAAATTTACCTCAACTGTCTATTAATATTTAACTCAAATGTGATATATACGGTAACTCAACTTCAATACAACCCTCGTTAACATTCATATCAACCAGAAACAAGTGACAACCTCACATATCAGTATTACATATTTAAAGTTATTATGTAATTTTATTCATCATTTCAGGTGAAATTTTTAAGAGAGCAACAGCAAGGAACATTAGAAATTGATGGCGTGCAGGTTGCAAGGGGGGAAGCAGGAGGTGCTGCACGAAAGATCACTGTGACACCACCTTTTTATGTTGGTGGTATACCTGATACAATGAGTGCCAAAAATGTCCATGTAAGTCAGTTCTACAATACTCGTTTTAATCTCCTGCTTTTATGTTTTCTTTTATGGTCAGTGAGTCAGTAAGATAGTGATTGAATTGGTGAGTGAGTCAGTGAGATAGTGACTGAATTTGTGTGATAGTGATTGAATTGGTGTGTGAGTCTGTAAAATAATGATTGAATTGCTGAGTGAGTCAGTAAGTTAGTGATTGAATTGGTGAGTGAGTCAGTGAGATAGTGACTGAATTTGTGTGATAGTGATTGAATTGGTGTGTGAGTCCTTAAGATGGTGATTGAATTGCTGAGTGAGTCAGTAAGTTAGTGATTGAATTGGTGAGTGAGTCAGTAAGATAGTGATTGAATTGGTGAGTGAGTCAGTAAAATAGTGATTGAATTGGTGAGTGAGACAGTGATTGAATTTGTGTGATAGTGATTGAATTGGTGAGTTAGTCAGTAAGTTAGTGATTGAATTGGTGAGTGAGTCAGTAAGTTAGTGATTGAATTGGTGAGAGAGTCAGTGAGATAGTGACTGAATTTGTGTGATAGTGATTGAATTGGTGTGTGAGTCCTTAAGATGGTGATTGAATTGTTGAGTGAGTCAGTAAGTTAGTGATTGAATTGGTGAGTGAGTCAGTAAGATAGTGATTGAATTGGTGAGTGAGTCAGTAAAATAGTGATTGAATTGGTGAGTGAGACAGTGATTGAATTTGTGTGATAGTGATTGAATTGGTGAGTTAGTCAGTAAGATAGTGACTGAATTGGTGAGTGAGTCAGTGAGATAGTGACTGAATTTGTGTGATAGTGATTGAATTGGTGACTGAGTCCTTAAGATGGTGATTGAATTGGTGAGTGAGTCAGTAAGATAGTGATTGAATTGGTGACTGAGTCCTTAAGATGGTGATTGAATTGGTGAGTGAGTCAGTAAGATAGTGATTGAATTGGTGAGTGAGTCAGTAAAATAGTGATTGAATCGGTGAGTGAGTCAGTGATTGAATATGTGTGATAGTGATTGAATTGGTGAGTTAGTCAGTAAGATAGTGACTGAATTGGTGAGTGAGTCAGTAAAATAGTGATTGAATTGGTGAGTGAGTCAGTAAAATAGTGATTGAATTGGTGAGTGAGACAGTGATTGAATTTGTGTGATAGTGATTGAATTGGTGAGTTAGTCAGTAAGATAGTGACTGAATTGGTGAGTGAGTCAGTAAGATGGTGATTGAATTTGTGTGATAGTGATTGAATTGGTGAGTTAGTCAGTAAGATAGTGACTGAATTGGTGAGTGAGTCAGTGAGATAGTGATTGAATTGGTCAGTGAGTCAGTAAAATACTGATTGAATCGGTGAGTGAGTCAGTAAAATAGTGATTGAATTGGTGAGTTAGTCAGTAAGATGGTGATTGAATTGGTGAGTGAGTCAGTAAAATAGTGATTGAATTGGTCAGTGAGTCAGTAAGATAGTGATTTAATTGGTGAATGAGTGAGTCAGTAAGATAGTGATTGAATTGGTGAGTTAGTCAGTAAGATAGTGATTGAATTGGTGAGTGAGTCAGTAAAATAGTGATTGAATTGGTCAGTGAGTCAGTGAGACAGTGATTGAATTTGTGTGATCGTGATTGAATTGGTGAGTTAGTCAGTAAGCTAGTGACTGAATTGGTGAGTTAGTCAGTAAAATAGTGATTGAATTGATGAGTTGGTCAGTAAGATGGTGATTGAATTGGTGAGTGAGTCAGTAAGATAGTGATTGAATTGGTGAGTTAGTCAGTGAGATAGTGACTGAATTTGTGTGATAGTGATTGAATTGGTGAGTGAGTCCTTAAGATGGTGATTGAATTGGTGAGTGAGTCAGTAAGATAGTGATTGAATTGGTGAGTGAGTCAGTAAAATAGTGATTGAATCGGTGAGTGAGTCAGTAAAATAGTAATTGAATTGGTGAGTGAGACAGTAAAATAGTAATTGAATTGGTGAGTGAGACAGTAAGATAGTGATTTAATTGGCGAATGAGTGAGTCAGTAAGATAGTGATTGAATTGGTGAGTTAGTCAGTAAGATAGTGATTGAATTGGTGAGTTAGTCAGTGAGATAGTGACTGAATTTGTGTGATAGTGATTGCATTGGTGAGTGAGTCAGTAAGATAGTGATTGAATTGGTGAGTGAGTCAGTAAAATAGTGATTGAATCGGTGAGTGAGTCAGTAAAATAGTGACTGAATTGGTGAGTTAGTCAGTAAAATAATGATTGAATTGGTGAGTGAGTCTGTAAAATAATGATTGAATTGGTGAGTGAGTCAGTAAGATAGTGATTGAATTGGTGAGTGAGACAGTAAGATAGTGATTTAATTGGTGAGTCAGTAAAATAGTGATTGAATCGGTGAGTGAGTCTGTAAAATAGTGATTGAATTGGTGAGTTAATCAGTAAGATGGTGATTGAATTGGTGAGTGAGACAGTAAGATGGTGATTGAATTGGTGAGTGAGTCAGTAAAATAGTGACTGAATTGGTGAATGAGACAGTAAGATGGTGATTGAATTGGTGAATGAGACAGTAAGATGGTGATTGAATTGGTGAGTGAGTCAGTAAAATAGTGACTGAATTGGTGAGTTAGTCAGTAAAATAATGATTGAATTGGTGAGTGAGTCTGTAAAATAATGATTGAATTGGTGAGTGAGTCAGTAAGATAGTGATTGAATTGGTGAGTGAGACAGTAAGATAGTGATTTAATTGGTGAGTGAGTCAGTAAAATAGTGATTGAATCGGTGAGTGAGTCTGTAAAATAGTGATTGAATTGGTGAGTTAATCAGTAAGATGGTGATTGAATTGGTGAGTGAGTCAGTAAAATAGTGATTGAATTGGTCAGTGAGTCAGTAAGATAGTGATTGAATTGGTGAGTGAGTCAGTAAAATAGTGATTGAATTGGTCAGTGAGTCAGTGAGACAGTGATTGAATTTGTGTGATAGTGATTGAATTGGTGAGTTAGTCAGTAAGATAGTGATTGAATTGGTGAGTGAGTCAGTAAAATAGTGATTGAATTGGTGAGTTAGTTAGTAAGATAGTGATTGAATTGGTCAGTGAGTCAGTAAAATAGTGATTGAATTGGTCAGTGAGTCAGTGAGACAGTGATTGAATTTGTGTGATAGTGATTGAATTGGTGAGTTAGTCAGTAAGATAGTGATTGAATTGGTGAGTGAGTCAGTAAAATAGTGATTGAATTGGTCAGTGAGTCAGTGAGACAGTGATTGAATTTGTGTGATAGTGATTGAATTGGTGAGTTAGTCAGTAAGATAGTGATTGAATTGGTGAGTGAGTCAGTAAAATAGTGATTGAATTGGTGAGTTAGTTAGTAAGATAGTGATTGAATTGGTCAGTGAGTCAGTAAAATAGTGATTGAATTGGTCAGTGAGTCAGTGAGACAGTGATTGAATTTGTGTGATAGTGATTGAATTGGTGAGTTAGTCAGTAAGATAGTGACTGAATTGGTGAGTTAGTCAGTAAAATAGTGATTGAATTGGTGAGTTAGTCAGTAAGATAGTGATTGAATTGGTGAGTGAGTCAA